CTCAATAGTACTAACAATACAACAGTATCCTTGATTTGAACCTTCAAACATGCCTTACAGCTTCACAGTACGTTCTCAAAAATGATTGACCATAAGTATCAAATTAGATAAGGAACAAAGTAGACCAAATAGAAAGCCACAAGATTCCAATGCAAAAACAATCACTTTGGATGGTCCCCCTGGAATAGGGAAGTCATATTTACCAAAGAATGTAGCTACATAGGCAGAATCAACATTCATTATATATACTATATTGCATTACTTATGGCGCAGATGTGGGGGTTGGCTCATTATGGAATGAATACTGTTATATGGAACTCAATCAAGGATGTCCTAACCAAAAAGCTATTTCAATTTTCACTTAACGTGCAGATCGATATTCCCAACTCAAGTATTGCATTTATAAACTTCAGTTTTTTGGTTTTGTTTAGTGTGACTTCAACTTCTAATGTACTTTTATGAAATAACTTCGACGCTTCTTGGTTTATCCTAGATTGCAAGTCAGAAAATTTTAAGTTCGACTAATTGTGAGAGAAACTAAAAACAAAGAAGAAACGGGGAAATCTGAATCAAAGAAGAAAAGGAATAAAACCAGAAACATGAAACCAGAGAGTTGAGACATGTACGAACGAGAACAAGGATGAAGAACATAAGAATCGATATGATCTAGGAGAGATACTCACCTGACGACAATGAAGATGGATAGAGGAAGAGAGGCGGCGGCGGCGACGGGGGGAGGAGAGGCGACGGGTCGATGCGGAAAGGAAAAGGCGACGCCCGGAAGAGAAAGGAAAGGGGTTGCCGTTCACAAGTTAAAAAGGCGTCACAGGAATATCTGGGGAAAAAAATTAAAAAAATGCTATGGACAATTTTGCCAGGATACGAGAAAAATTTTCTGATTCTCTCCCCCGAAAGAGGACAATTTGGGAGGAAGGAGGAAGGGACAAAAATTCTCCATTTCCCCCTTCTTAATTTTTTCTGAACCAAACAGTCTTAATTTTTTCCTTTCCTTTCCCTTTCTTTTCTTCTCCTCAAGAAGCCCGGCCCCCAGCCAAACACTACGTTAGGCTTTCACTGAAAGGGATGAGAATCGCGGACGACGTCGCTGATGCTTCCCCTTTTTTCGTCATAACCATATATGCTTCATTTTTTTATTAAAAAGGTTGGACATAAATATTAAAATGAGAAAATATTTGATAGAGATGATCAATCTTCCAAAGCGTATTGCAAATTTGTGCTCTGTCATGGCAAAAATTGCAAATATGTATTTGCGCTCCCGTATCTCTAGGATTTGCTATGTATTTTCCTTTTTTCAGATAAGGAGAAGACCCACACGGCACGCAAGCCGTGTCCCCCCCCCCTCCTTTTAAGCATAGGTTAAGGCCTAGTTTAGATTCATAATTATAAATGCCTCTATAAAAATATTTTATATAAATTAAGACAATTTTTTTTACACACTTACTTTGTATTTTACAAATTATAATTAAAAAATTACTTATAAGATATTCTAAACGAATTCTAAATATTTGTGTTAGCTACTAATTTTGAAGAGTAAGAATGCCTCGTTTAATGAGTTATAACTGAAAAGTATACTTCAAAACACTTAAATTTGTATACCTCGCTGTAGAAGCGAGTTACTTACCCCTCATATGCTTATTGGTATTTGTAATGTATCTTTAATCCTATAGCTGGTATGAGAGGAGAGGAGGAGAGAGAAAATTTTTTAATAAAATTAATTTAACAAATTAAAAAAGTGGGTCACAAAATTTTATTAAAAAGAAGATATAGGACAAATGAGTAACAAAGACTCATTAAAAGTTCGTTCACCTGTATATATTTTATTTTCTTTGGTTCAAAATATAAGTGTCAAATATTTAAAGAGGCTTGTTTTTTTGTTTCTATAAGCATCACTTTCAATTTGTCTAATCAATTATTACATTTTTTTTAATTTTACTACTAATTAATTTTATGTCTCTCTCACCTTTTTTCCCACTCATTCTTTTTTATTTATTTTCCACTAATTTTTTCTCTCAGTTGTCCTATTTAAAAATAAAAGCGTTTTAAAAAAATAAGTTACAATTTTTACATCTTTATTATTTTTAATTAAATTTAACTAAACATTTTAAATTTCATAAATTAATTATTTGATCCTCCTATTTTGAAAGTACGCACACAATTAGAAAGAAACCAATAAATATGCAATCATGTTAGATGGGTTTTCAATCCACGTAAACCGACAATCAATAATAAGGGACTAACGGTGCCATGATGTGCGTAATTTTAATAATCTTAATATAGTTATATGAGCATTTTAAGAAAAAATATGAATTGTCTTTGGAATTTCAGATAATGCCACATATTAGAATATGCCACTGCCCAAAATAATCTCATGTTTTTTTTTTGGTCAAAACAAAATAATCTCACGTTTGAAATGGATGTAGTTTTATTTTTAAAGAAAACATTTACTTCCTCCAATCGCTCCTATTTATAAATTATTTTACTTTCAACATTTTTCACCAAATATAAAAAATCTTAAAATTCATTGACGCTTTTCAAAACTTTAATAAGTTTTCCATTTTGCTCATGTAAAAACATCGAACGGGGGATGCAAAGAACAATCATAATAAATAATTAATGGAATCCCTTGAAGAAATACCACAAAACTCATCCTTTACATAATTTATAAACAGAAGGAGGTAAACACTTTTTTTTTGAAATCCCAAAAAAATACTTTTCAACCTCTATACTATTTTGGGTTAAGGTGCGCCCAGCACCCCGAACTATTTACCCAGGTGCGTCCAGTGGCTTAAAATAATTTTGGGTGCATCCAGTGTCCTAAACTAATTAAAATGGTGTATCCATATCCCAGGCTAATATAAATGTTATGTTTAACTGTTACTTTCCTGACTCAACTTAAAGTTGACCCCAAGTATTTTACATGGTAGACACATGAGCACCGATGTGTATTATTCTTACTCAAAAGTCAATTTATTAGAAGAAGAGGAAGGAAATAGATTCAATTTTGAGTAAGAATAATACATATCAAATGTCCATATGTCTACCATTTAGAATATTTGGGGTCAACTTTAAGTCGAGTCAGGAAAGTAACAGTTAAACATAACATTTCTGTTAGCCTGGGATATGGACGCACCATTTTAATTAGTTTAGAACACTGGATGCACCTAAAATTACTTTAGGCTAATGGACGTACTTGGATAAATAGTTTAGAGTACTGAGCGCACCTTAACTCTAATATTTTTAGTATAGTTTTGCTCTTACTTTAATGAAGGTGCAACTTTGGGGGGAAGAAAAACATCACTAATGCCCACTTTATCACCCTTGTCGGAAGCTAGCCTTCAGGGCTTCAGCTCTAGCCCTCCAATTGAGCCAGCAGCCCGTCACTAGAGCTTGGGCCACCTTCTTGGTGGAGCTCCAATACAAATGGCTATGATTTCTTAAAACAAAGTCAGCTCATGAAGTATAATAAATACTTCCTCTCATCCTATTTCAAACCTTTATATTTAAGAAAGAATGTGATATATTTTATAAATTTTAATTTATTTTAATATTTAATACATTTTTTAAATTTTTGTTCTTTTTTTTTTTGGTATATTCTCGTTTATCACGTTTTTTACATATTCTCTTGTATCTTTTTTTGCATTTATTACAAAAGTATATTTAAAAAAATATATTATTAACTTATTTATTACTTTTAAGTAATTATTCAGTACTTATGAATTAATTATTTGAAAATTTTAATAAGAATTGTGAAGAGTATTGAAGTAGTTAATGAAAAATAATACATAGCTTTTGGTTAAAAGAAATACTCCCTCCGTTCCTTATTATAAAAGATATTTGATGCTTATGGTATGTTTTCATATATAAGAGACGCTTAAAAGTTGTCTCTATTTTTTTGTATTGATTTTCTATTTTATCCCTATTTATTTTGTCTCTAACTCATACTCTCTTTCCCTTTCACTTCTTTCTTTTAATAATTTAATTATTCTCTCTTATACTCTCTCTCCTTATTAATGGGGATATTGTTGAAAAAAACATTATACTTTTTACACATTAATTGTCCTCAACTAATTTTAACTGATTTTTTATCAATATAATTTGGTTATTTGTCTCTTATAATAAAAAGTGAAGGGAGTAATAAATACCAGCTAATAAAAAGCTGTGGACATCGTAAAACATCATCCAACTGTAAAATTTGAAAAAATAGGTTGCCTTTCACTAATCAGCATGTATTATAATAAAGAAAGAAGTGCAATAAATATTCATTTTACACTTGGCCAATTACTTACTTACATTCCTGATTTATTATACTTAATTATCTTTTCTTTATTAGTACCTTTTTTCTTTTTTGCCAGCATGCTACTTAGTTAACAAATGACAACATATTGCACCAAATTTTACAATTAAAGATTTTAGGATATATTATATACAACACTTAGTTAAAAATTTACTACTTTTTTTTTGTCAATTATTACTATAATATTTCACAAGCTAGTTTTACATTAAAAAAAATTAAGATCTAAATATAATAATTATTTTCATATAATTGTAAAACTTAAATTTCGCAATATCGATGTCATTGAATACATAATCATTAACGACTATATGCAATTGCTTAAAATCATCGCTAACATTTATCTGTTGCTTTAAGCATTGAAAGTTCAGCCAATATCTCATTTACTAATTTAAATGAGTTTCAATTTTTCACTCTTTCTTGGGAATGTAAGAGTGAATGAAAAAAAAAAAACTGCAAAAGAATCAATTCTTCAAGGTCAGATGCGGTGAATCAAAATTGAAGAAAGCTGCTTGAAATGGGGGTACTCATTTCCAAGATACCCCCCCGTCTGGAGACCAAAATAGGATATGAACTTAAAACCAGCCTTAATTAATAGCACCACCAACCAACGCAATTTTGTCCAATGCTAAATTGCCATTAACTAATCCACTGAAATCAAACGATCAGAACGAACAGCAAATCCAAGTTAGAAATTAGAACCCAGAATGATATCATTAAATCAAGTCATTTTCTCGTCTATGATAATTAGAAAACCAACAAGGATGCCTCTTCATCAGCGAACTCCCACTAAAACTACACTACGGCTACACAAATTTTACACCACAATTACACCAACACAAACTACCACATCCACTTCACCACAGCGAGAGAAAGAAGAATAAAGGAAAAAGGAGAAAAAAAAGAACACTACCCCTAATTCATAAGCCTATTGTTCAACGCTCACTTCCGTCAGAGTGGGCTTCTCCTTCGGCGGCCGGCCTCTGCCCCGACTCACAACTGGCCCAGTTTCCGGTGAAGTTCGGGCCACCTTCTTGGGCCTTCCTCTGGGCCTGCCGCTGCCGGTTGAGGTTTTGGGCTTGGACGAGGCATTCGGGTCCTTGGGTGGACGGCCTCTGGGTCGGGGCGGAGAAAGTACGGTACCCGGAGGCAGTGGAGCCTTGGCCTTGGGTGGCCTGCCCCGGCCTCTCTTGGGTGGAGCATTCGGGTCGGGTTTCATGTAGTTGTTCTTGGCGAACACAAGCTCCCCGGCGTCCTTCATCCTGTTCAGATGGTGAGACAGCAACGTGGAGTGGGTCGCCGGCAAGTCGCTGTAGGTGGTCTCTATGTGCTTCGCGATCGACGATTTGTTCGAACCATTGGGTTCGTTCAGAGCCTCCAGAGCTTTCATTATCATCTACAACAGCACACGCATACGAAACAAAGAGAGGTAAAAATTTTGCTGTAAAAAATCCCGGATCTGTTCACTGCTCAACTAAATTTTTTTTTTTCCAAAAATACCCAGAGTCTTGCGAAACTCAGATCAGAATGACTGTCAAAGCTAAGAAAGAAGATTACCTCTGGGTACGGAGGAAGAGAAGGAGGAGTTTCAGTCGCCATTTTAGGTGGAGAGAGCGAAGCTCGTCGTGAAGCCAACGAAGCTCGGAAATTGAAACTTTAAAAGAGACGAAGGAGAAGGAGTGAGAGAAATTTTTTTCACAAAAGGAACTGTTGAAATTTAGTTTGGCACCAGCATCGATCCGGGGATGGATTTAAAGGAGAATAAATAGATTTTTTAAAAACCGAAAAGAGAAAGAGGGGATTAGAAAAAGGAAAAAAAAGGAAAGAAAGGAAAAGCAGCGCCATCCCCTTTTCCCCCTCTCCTACTCGTTCATCTTTTTGAGGGAATAATCGACGGCTGGGAATTATCAAATGGGCGATGATCTAAGGGCGTAGTATTTCGTGTGAGGGGGTCACCTGGATCGATGACGTGGCGGGATTTTGAAATGGGCACATTATCCTCCATTTATTTATTGCTGCCTTTTTTGTTTTTTTGGGGTTCCATTTGTTTTGAATGAGGATTTAGGTGAAAAGTCCGTTTATTTTCCGTGGGGAGACAGGAATTATACATTTCTCAACCGATTACAAAAAGAGAACAAGGACTTGTCTGCCTGTTCTGGGCATTTACAACCTAATCAACACTTCTTCTTTTTTTGTCAATCAATCTAATTTCACAAAAACAGTTTTTAATTATTTTATAATATAATGAATATTTGGCTTGATTTTTTTTTGAAACCAGGTATTATCCTCAGCCAATAACTATAGACTAATTTTTTTAAGGCATAAAAATTATCAAAATGGGTTTTGCCTCTGTCACCAAAACTTTTTTCATAAATTTGAACATAAAAGTTATGATTAAATATGATTTGTATCGTTTTATTTCACTTAGAAGTAGTATTTTGTTTTAATTTGGTCACTACTACAATTTCTTACAGAAGTATTTTACAATTTCTTGTAAGAATTTTTTGAATTTCTTTATCAGATATACATATAACAGAAGAACATAATAGGTAATAAAAAATAAATACTCCCTCCGGTTCTTAATATAATTAGATTATAAAGTATGTTTTATATTTTAAAAAAACTGGATGAATAATTCACGTAATTAAAAGTGAAGAGGCCGTTCAAAATAACACACCTTACGAGACATGAAATGTGGAAGTAACGCTTTATTTTGCGTTTCAGTTCCAAAGACTTTTGCTTGGAGGAGAGGGAAGGCATTTTAAAAAAAATTAAAAAAACGTGGGAAGGAAGAATAATTATATGTGGCACAATTATATTCTCCTTTTTATTAACATTGTTTTTCCCCTAGTTTATATAAATATTTAATAAAATATATTTATGAATTTCAGAAGAAATTATATACTTATGAAAGCATATAGAGATCTAAATTTTCTTCAAGAAAATCAGAGTTAATCATTATACATAAACGTATAAATAATTATAATATACATATATAAATATTACATGACCATATAAACAATTATAATATAATATTTTTCTCACAATAAAATTAACTCCTCAGTCATTATAGATTTATATAACATTTAATCAAGTTTTTATATTTTTTTATTGGATCTCAATCATAGCCATTTGTCTAATCAAGGAGAACAAAACTGAACTGGACTGGCCTGTTCAATTAGAAAACCAGTTCCAGTGAACTAGTCGTTAGTCCGGTCTGATTTGTAGAAAAAACCGGACCTACTGTGAACCGGTGGGGAACCAGTCCAATTAGTAAAAACCAGTTGGGCGATTCACCTTGTTTAATTTTTTTTGGTTGCCTAGCCACACAAAACGACGTCGTTTACCATTAAAAAAAAACTTTCTTCCTCCCTCATTCAACCCGATGTCTCGAGCTTTCAGTCCTCCTCCCCTATTTCTGAACATCAAAGTCCTCTCCCCCTTGGATCATCGAGATCTCTTCCACTTTCTCTCAGTCACAAACTCTTGCTGTGAACCCCAGCAAAATCCACAATGTCACCTCATCACTGACAGTGGCACTCCCTCCTCTGTGGCTCCATTCACCGCTCACATTGCTTCAACTTCACAGCTCTCCTTCGTCTTCGCCGTTCAACTTTGCAACTCTGCTTTGCCTTTGCCATTCACCTTCGCAACTCACATCGCAAGTCCCGAGTCTCCATCATCCATCCTCTCCTTACTAACATCCTGCTTCACCTTCGGTTCAGGCATTGAGTTGTAGCCTTGTGGGTAAGCTCAACACCTTTCTTTTTTAGCTATGTTGTGTTTTTAAGATTGAAGAGCTGCCTCTCTCTGTGCTGTCGTGAGATTTGAGAAGGGAGGAGAGTGTTGTTGCTGAAATAATCAAATAAATTAAGATTGTTGTTGCCGAAATAAATCAAGTGTTGTTGCTGAAATAAATCAAATAATATAGCTGTTGATTGACTCGATCCTTTAGATTAATTTTGTCCATAGGATAAGCTATTGTTTTGCATTATAATTTTGATTATACTGTGAGCTTACATTATGTAGATTGTACTAATTTTGATTCCTTTAGATTATGCTGCCAATGATCTCAGTGATAATTTTGATTTTCCATACAGATGAGGATATGTATTCTATTAATGTTCATTTTGTATAATTAAACATTTAAACTATGTTGGTTTTTATATTTCCTTCAATGATTATTACTTATGAATTTTGTTCCACTTCTGAGTTATATTTTATTATTTTATTATGACCGGTTCGATCCTGGTTCAACCACAGTCCTGACCCACCCTTGACCTACTGTCTTGACCAATTTAGTTCTCGGTCCGGTTTTTTGTTCCTTGGATCTAACACATTTACCGCATGTTAATTAGCATTGATGCAGGTGTTGATTAATTGACGTACAATTCATTGTAAAAATTGTTATCCAGAGTTAGTTGGATATTTAATTTGATTTTAAATATAAGATTTTAATATGTTTTATCTTTAATATCTATTCATTTTATCTCAAGTAATTTTTATAGTAATTATACATATTAAGAAATTTTTTTAAAAAAATTAATTTTAATATATATGATTGATAGGATATTAGTTTAGCTAGTTTCCTTAACGAGGGACCTGAGATCAACATGGAAAGAGGGAAAAAAAAGTTGCAGAGGGAACAGTCCGTATGCGGGGGAGAAGCGGGGGGACTGTGATTGCCACGGGCATCTTGGTTGGCGGGGCTTTTTCTTTTCCTGGCCATAGTTCCACGGTTTTATATCAAAGAGGCCATCTTCCAGGTTAATCCCTCTAACTAAACAATATACTACCTCTAACCCTTAATATAAGATCTAGTTAATTAATTTTAAAAGATTAAGAAAATTATAAGTTAAATTAGTTATTTATACTGAATAGATGTTGTCTTTTTTAAAATATCCTTATTAATTATGTATGTTTAAATTACTTATTGATGCTAACTTTTTAACATATATAACTAATATAAGAGTTACTTGAGGAAAAATAGATAAATACTAGAAAAAAATAAATTATGATCTTATATTTAGGACTAAATTAAAAATCAAATTAGTTCTTATAATAAAAACTTAATGTAATATGTAAATAAATAAGATGTGATTTGAAGAGCCGTTATAGCTCCGGTACAAATTGCTGAGTCAAAGGTTCCGTTGACTTTCCCACTGCTTCACTCGCTATGATATGTTTTTCTTCAACAACTCCGGTATATTTTGATATTTATTTTGATCATAAATATAAGATATCATTTATTTTATCTCTCATATTTATTTATTTTGTTATAGTAATTTTTATAGTTAAAGGTTTTATTAAATGTAATTCTCACTAATACACATAATTAACAAGTGTATTTTTTTAAAAAAAATAACACCTATTTATTATAAATAACTAACTTAAGTAATTTTTTAATTTACTCAAATTAATCAACTAGTTTTTATATTAAAGATAGAATGTAGTACTCCTCCGGTCCTTATTATAAGACCCCATTTGACTTTTTATTTGGTTCTAATTATAAGACCCCAATCCATTTTGTCTCTTATATTTATGCATTTTTTTCCAAGATAATCCTTCTAATAATGATAGTTTTAGCCAATATACTTAATTAGCAAGGATATTTTAGGAATGACAACATTTATTTATTATAAATGACCAACTTAACTTACTTCCTTAATCTCCTCAAATAAGTCAATTGGGTCTTATAATTAGGACCGGAGGAGTAATATCTTACAGCTTGGACCAAAAGCCTAATATACTAAGAATAATTAGATTTAACCTAATATTTTCTAGTCATTAGCTCTTAACTTATGTTGACAAAAAAGAAAAAGAAAGAAGCGCTTAGCTTATACTCCTCTGATCTTATTTATAAGATATTTTCAACATGTTTCACACAGACCAAGAAAAATCTTAAACTTTATTAACTTTCATTTAAAATTTAATGACTTTCTAATTTTATCCTTATTCAATATGCATTATACCTCATGTGAACAAAATCAACACAATAATAAATGAATGGTAAAATTATACATCTATATAAAAAATTTCTCTAAATAGCCTTGCAGAGTTGCCGTATGTACATTCTCATTTTGGTTACTTCACTCATTATGAGAAACAAGATAAAATTATTGACAGTGACTAGGAATTATTGTTATTTATATGTCCAATTGTGCTGTTATCGAGTTTAATATTGCTCGTTTTCATGTACCAGACGCTCTTTACAAAGCAATTATAGTCACACTCTTCTAACAAAAACATTTTAATACTACCTTCGATCTTTAATATAAAAACTTATTTGACTTTTAAGTTGATCCTAAATATAAAACTCTAATTCATTTTGTCTCTTATATTTATCTTTTTTTTTTAAATAGCCCTTATAGTAGTTTTTCATATTAAAGATTCCATCAAATTATTGTTCTAGGTAATACAAATAATTAACAAAAGTATTTTAAGAAAGGCAATACGTACTCATTATAAATAATTAACTTAATAAACTTTCTTATTCTACTTAAACTAGTCAACTAACTCTTATACTAAAAACTGAACGTAATATATATTTGACCCCCGTTTGGTCAGTAATCCCTTGACAATATTGCTTTGATGATGCTCTTCTTGAACTCTTTCCCCACCTCTTTTGTGGTAATTGGACTTTTTTATTCCGAAGTTCTCATCACATTCTCAAAATTAGAGTATTTGAACTTTTTATTTGTCACATGTATTTTCTTATTGGAGATAATTCTGTTCAAGACATTAGCATGCATTAAATATAAATATCTCTCTTAGCATGAATTTAAACCT